ATTTAAACGCGACGCACACGCTCGACTGTACCATACACGTGCGCGCGTGCACACATGCCTTCGCTGAGTATTGGAATGTGTACGAACGTTTCTGCATGTACATTCATACGTTATGCGTCCGGATATACGTATAGATATTATACGCGAGCGTGCGCGCAAAAGAGCACTCGCCCGGACTCGGGCGCGCGCAGATGCACCCACATAACGTAAACTCCCGTGCAAGCGCGTATAAGCTCGGGTGAGTTCGTGTGAGATCGGGTGAGTTCGTGTAAACTTGTGCAAACTCGTACGAGCCCGTGCAACGGCAAACGCGCGCGCCGATTCGCGCTCATCGCTAGGGCGTCGCACACTCGTAAATCGCGCCCCGAGCATCGCTCATACGTGTAATGACGATCCGCGAGCATTCGGGTCAACGATTTCAGTGAAACTTCGGGCGGCGCGCGTACACCCGGACCTTTTTCCAGCCACTTCCTAACCTCTTACGCGCCCGGTGGCTATGACGTTCCCCCCGCCTCGTGCAGAGGGCCCCGCGCGTCTTAAGGCCCGCTCGCGACCTGAAATGAACCACCCCTCTCGAGGATAAATATGCTCGTCCTGTTATGGAAACCCTTGGATATGATATCCCGACCCCGGGATCGGAACAGAGTTAAGAATGTATGCAAAGATTATCGGATTGCCCTCGTAGTATTCTAGATAAAATTCTGTGTACAATGTTTAGAGATTAATGCTGGGGTATTCCTTTTTTCATAAGATGTAAATTACTTATAAAAGCTCGAGATTGGCATCGATAATTTTTTGACAGATAGAAAGTTACCGTGGAGCAGGGTCGAAAGGTAAGTTTAAGCGAGTTTACTGGATTAACCCCTTGCCTTACGATTTAAATTCCAATAGCACATGCCATAAACAACAAAAATGTCGATCATACATCGGGCCATTTCACGGTTTAACTGATCGTTCAAAGTCTCATACGTTTTGTTCACATTTGGCCTAATTGATATACCACGTCTCTCACACGATATTGGAAGTGAAGGGGTTAATAAAATGGGAGGTTTTTAAGGCCTTTTGAGTGGTTAAATGATTTTTTTCAAGTTTCCCTGAGAACACTTTTGGCTGATATCGAAATTCATTGATTTTCGATTCCCGCCTCATAAACGATGTTTTAATCCTGAATGTAAGCGAATTAGATGAATGTAGAATATTTCGGAAGTTTCCACCCGCTCTCCGACGTTAAAGTAATCTCTCAATACTATCGATAATTGTAGTGTCTGCTAACGAAATTAATCCGATTTTTTTTGGACTACGTTCTCAGTTTACAATTTATATTCTATCTCCTTGAATACTGAATGTAAATAGATTTACCTAAAATTCCTAACTTCATTGAGCGAAATATTTACGCCCATTCAGATCGCAAAGCTGTTTCTTTTAAATATAATAACTAAGGTGGCGAATCACCGTACAGACCCCCAAAGTGCGCGCTTGGGACTTCAAAAGTAAGACTGTTACGTTATAAATTTTTACGCTCTGTTTTTTTGCCAATGTGAATAAATTATATATTTTCCCATTTCTGAAGTACAATTATTAGTTAGTCCTTTAGAATATAGACTTGTTTATTATGTATGTAATTAACTAATAAAACGTTACAAATTAATTTGACGGTAATACAAAATACTACGTCCTTTGTGTGACAATATTTGGCGGACCTACCTTAGTTATACGATAAGTAGAATCGGAAAAATGTATTTAGAAGGAAGGGATCTCAAAATGATATTACCCTTGAGGCCCTTAACGTAGTTACATCGCTACTGACAATAACCACTTCCATTCTGTATCGGGATTACCTAAATCTTACGTAACGGTTAAAGGACGATGTTTCAGTATCCAAATTTGGAAGTGCCTCCTGAATTATTAAATTGAAAAAAGTGTTCAACTCCACTCGGGCGGTAAAGCGACTTTCGAAGTTCCGACAAGAGCACTTCCGTCCTTACAAGCCCCGATGGAGATAAGCGAAAGTCGTGTAAACAGAGCCACGTCGGGCGAATTGAAATCACGGGTAGAAAATGGCGGCCGCATGCCCCGAGGGCAAAGGCGGTCGAACTAACGAGGAAATTATGGGGTGGTGGCTCATCCAGGCGCAAAGGGGATGTAGATCGGGGCGGAGATATCTTTCAGCCCCGTTAATACCGGGCGGCGTGTTTACGAGCTGTTTACCGGCGACAATGTTACTCCTATTGTTGCGGCATTATGTATCGATTCGTTCTCGACAATACAGCTCGTATGAAAGAACTTTCGTAGAGAATACCCCCGTTGTACGGCACCATTTTGAATTCAGCCGAAAACTTTATTTTGACAGAGAAGATTCCCCAGACTTCTACAATTCACGATTGAACGGAATAATTCCAAATTCAAGGACCTAATTATATGCATTTGAAAATTATATATCGTAGAGAGTGTTAATTTTTCCTCAGGTGTTATTGCATTGCACCGAAGGGGGAATTGTCAACTAAGGTAACTTAGGGTAATAGGGTTCACCATAAGTTAAAAGGCTTGGGGAAGCTAAAATACAAAGTATTTTGGGATGGGGAAATGGGCAGAGTGTATGCGAACAATGTTTTTTCAGTCACAAACTATAAAAATAAAATACAATTCTAAAGAAAAATGTAACTGACAAAATTTTAGTATGATGCTACAGGGTTTTATTACCCTGGTGTACCTTAACTCGTTTACTTGATCGTAAGTATAAGTAGGATTTTACTAAAATTTCGTCAAATTTTATTTGACTTATTCTTCTAATTGCTGAAATTATGTCTAAAAGTGGCTGGCAGAAACGATTAACGCACAAAGAGGTCAAAGTCCATCAGGTAGCATGTCATCATTCGAGAATTATGCAATGCCAGAGAAACCGTGAGTACGGAAGCTTTTATGTAAATCACATGTTCAACACCCACTAACGCACGCAAAGTCAATATACATGTATTAGTTATTTAGTTACCCGTTCATTCAATCCCAGAATTAATAATTTATACCCTGGTCATTTCGTTGAGAACAAAAGTTATCCCTGCAATAACTACCGCCGAAAGGTCAAGCTTCATTTTAGTACTTTTAACATAAAATAGAAAGCAAAGATACAGTAGCCAGGTATATCTGACTCGATTTCGAAAAGTCATCCAAAAAAGCAATAAAACGTCGTCCCAAAATTCAAACGAGCGGACTATTCTCAAGTGTCAGTAAGAACCATTCGTCGAAAGAAGGGAAAAAGTCACGACTGAACACACAAGTCAGATCTAAGTAAATCGACGAGCGATCGTCAGATATCACCATCCATTACCCCCATTCCAACGGGAAGAACGAAAGCACGGAAGCTTTTCCGCAAATAGTTAGTTACAGCACCCCCTCATTTACGTCCGCCCATTCCCTCCCCTTAAGACTCGACTCCAAGGAGCCATCCAAAAAGGCGACAACGAGCCGTTTAGAAATTCCGACAAGAAGCACATTCCCAAGCAATCACCAGGCCGTTTTCAAATAAAAAGAGACGGTGAAGAACGAAGAAAAAAGACCTACGAGCACACAAGACAGATCGGAGTAAATCGAGGAGGGATCGTCGGATATCGACGTCCATTATCCGCGGGCTAGAGGGAAGAGCGAAGGCACGGAAGCTTTTACGCAAATAATATTTGCATAGTCGAGCCGCGCACGGGCGTGTATGACGGGCCGTGCATAAATCTCGCATTGCAAACGAAAGGAAGGACCCGTCGCCGCCTACGTCGCTCGTGGACGACAAAAAAATAGAGGAGGGGTAGAAAGAGAAGAGAAGAGAAAAAAGGAGTAGGGGGCTTCGCGAGGCATACTCGACGAAACGCTGCCACCTGAATACGCCGGAAAAGTACGTTCGATTTAAGTCGGCATAGAGACGCAACCTACGATAAAGGCACGCCCGTGATCGCGCATATACGTGCCGCGTAATGTATTCGGGGACATCTGCGTGTATCGAGCGCTATCAGCCCGATGCCATCTGCATCGGGCTTTTCTCTCTGGCACCTATGTTCCTCGCGACGCGAATGGCAGATCTAGACACGGCACGGATACGAAGTACGGACACGCGGTATCTCGAAAGGACCATCTCTCCACGGTGCCGATGTTACCTCGCTCCCATTTAACGAAGGCCGTTCTCCATTCTTCCTTTTCATTTATGCCCTCCGTTGAAAGGTTCCGTGTAAAAGGACCGCGGAGTTTAGGTCGTACTTTTCTAACTCGTGGTGGTCGATTTTATTTTCGAGAAACTGGTCGATTCAGTGGATATAGTAGTAGCAAGTAGTAATCCTCTGATTGCAAATTTGTTTTGGTGGAAAATTAAAGTAAAATCTTTCCAGTAGTATATTGGGGTTGACCAGACGAATATTCGACTGATTAAAGGAATGTGATAACTACATGGAGAAACAGTAGTTCGAAAATAGGCGCCAGTCCCTAAAAGGGATATGACATACAACTACAGAAGGAAAGAATAACTTTGCAGGTGGTAGCCTTATAAATTGTAGTTATGTGTCATATCTTTTGTAGGGATTGGCTCCTATTTTCCGACTCACGCGATAATATTTAATATTATTTTTATCACGGTATAAAAGATGAAATTGAATACTTGTTGGCTTCTTATGGGTAAGGACCGTTTTCTTTGACCATCACTCTGGATTGCTAGTTCTTAATTTTTTCGAAGTCGCTTTTGATTTTAAGGAAAATTGAATCACTAATTACTACAGACTAAAGTCATGAAACTGAAAACAAAACTATAGGTATATGCAAAATAATGTGCAGAATGGTATGCAGAGTACAGGTTAAGTGGTCTAAATGATCATTTATCTATTTCGAATTTTTCCTGATTTTATATGTAACCAATTTGTCAGCTGAATGTTTTGCTTGGCTAGCCATTTATCGACCTAGCATTTGTACAAGATTTATGTCTAAGCTTCGATTCGGGCAAGACAGGATTTACATGGAATTAGGCTCACCTGGTTCTGCGCGTTTTGCTCAGCCATCGCCTTCTCTTTGGCTTGTCGCTTGCACTTGTACCGGTGATTCTGGAACCAGATCTTCACCTACAACAAAAAGGTTGAAACATTTTAAGGAAATCTCGTAAGCTGTTGAAAAATATCTATTTCGTTGAATCACCGTCACATGTTACCATATATTCTCTGATAACGAAGGCATTAATAAACGTTTACCAAACGTAAATTTAATAAATTCGAAGAATTATGACGATGCAAATATATTGCCACATTGTCCTAACAAATTCATTTAATTCAGGATCATTAATGTTGCCATATTTAAGCAATTTTTTTTATCCGTACAGCTAGTACTTAAGTCAGAACGACGGAGCGTTTTGAATATTTCTAAATACGGTGTCTTATTAAATTCTCAATTGCGAAAGTAAATACCATGATTGGTCGATCGGTGAGGCGAGTTTGCTGACCAAAATGGCCGATACATCTGCGCGCTAACTGGCCCCTCAGGTAAAATCAAATTGTTTTTTTAGGAGTTCCTCGACGGACGGATTTCGAGGCTGCCTTCGTACCTTCTGGCCTGGCAAAGCCTTAATCCCGCGTTAAACGTTTCCTCGTGACGTCTGTGTTATTTCTTCGAGAGCACCTTCACTCCGTCCAGTCATTTCGTTCCCAGTGAATTTTTCCCTGCCTCCAAATTTGTCTTCTACTTCCGTCGCAACACTTGACAGGTGTCGAAGACACCACTACGGTCCTTCTAAGAAATTTTCCCCACACAATTTAGGTCCGAATAAGTTATCCCACTTTACGTCCAACGGGGAAACAGAATTAGTCCGCATAATTTATTTTCGATTAACAAGAAATGAACATTTAAACAATTTAAAATATACCATAAAAACCCAGAGATTTATTTTATACTAATCTGTACATATTAAAGAAAGTTTTCTGACCGACTAACTGACAGACTAATCGTCAACATCCAGTTCAAACCTCTGAGCATAAAAAAGTGACATTTGGGAAGGTATATCCTTTTCGCACACTAAGACGGTTCTTTTTTAAATTCACTTCCTAAAAGAGTAAAAAAGGGGTAAGATGAGTTTTTAGAATTTTCTTAATATCTCTAAAGTCTGCTGAGATATCGACTTGGATTTTATTCTAAAAGAATATACATACAAATGCCTAAAAACCATTTCAGAATGTTGGACTAACCAACTCCTAACGAAGTGAAAAGGGTTAAGAAAGACTGTACATTTTGAGTTCTACCTGCATATATTACAAGCGAAGCCGTGACGAAAGATGCTAGTACTCTGTATAAATGTTATCAACCGAATCACAAGGATTGTATATTTTTTTCTGGAATTATACGTCAATATCCCCAAAATGGAAGAATTTGAAGAACGAAATTTCCTTGACGAGCCAGATGTTAAATTCAGCCTCATTCAATGTAACTACCGATCATTCGAGGTTCAGTTTACACGTGAACTGTGTAAAGAAAAAAAAAAGTGGAAAATGTATTTATTGGGCAATGTATAAAGGGTGAGCTAAAGTTCTTGTGCCAACGAACCCCAGGAGAGAAAAAAAAAACCGATGCCGAACTCAGGGCAGGAAGGCGCTTTTATGGCAATTGAAAGCGATTAGGTTAGTCGGGCGTGTGTGGACGAGATCGGATCAGCGTCTGCTTATGACAGGACTGCGTTATAATCCTGCATTATGCGGAGTTCACAGGGGTGTCATGATCGCTTTAGCATTGTCGCTTGCCTTCGAGGAAAACAATGACAACTGCGGTTATATGGGTCCTCTCAACGTTTGCCGAGCGACGAAATAGACCAATTGCCATCCGAATGATTAGGTTTCCGAAGTTTCTTCTTCGGTGATTCCTTCTACCGAATATTCCATTCGCTTTGTAAAAATACAAAACAAATTTGAACTCTCCCATCACTAGGTGCTACATATGCTTTGTATGATTACTCGTATTTACAAAAAGCAATGACGATACAAATTAATTTATCTTTCCTAATACACATTTGAAGATTTAGATCGTACGACATTCTTGCTTTCTTCTGCTCTATCATAAACAACGCTATAACTTATAAATGCCATCAATGTTATCTGTCCAGTTTCTCTGATAATTACACCATTGACCAAATGAATGACGCTGCAATCAGTTTAACCATCTTATAAAATAATGTGTTGACACCGCGATGTTGGTTCCAGTCTGCGATAAATAGGAAAGTTTTTTTTTCTTTTTTTATTAAGAAATAAAATTTCATGTGTGTCAGGACCCTCCTTAAGGTTTCCATAATCACTTAATATTTCAAACGATTCTGTACACCCAGTTTGGCGAAAAGTTTCATACGAACTATCATGTCTTAAATGTCACCTTACCTTCCGGGAAGTTAAGTTAATAGCAACTGATGATTAAAATGTATCCACACCTTGAATTGAAGAATATATTAAATAACGTTAATTGTTGCACTACGCAGATGTTGATTTTAAAATTGACATATTTCTCGAGTACGGATTCTGTAAGATGGTCTTTACTTTGTCATGAGGCACGTTGCAAGAATCCCAAACTCTTTGCAGTGTTCGTAACCCAGTGGCGAACCGCCCTCTGGGGCCCTTGTGCCCCATTGTGAAAGCCACACACAAGCCACGCGTAAGCCACACACGAACCACATATGAACCACACATGAGACTCAACGAAAGCACTTTATCGCGGCATGAGTGCTCCAGGAGCTTGGGGAGATGCTTGTTGGACCGTGAATCGAGTGCCAGCAACCGCCTGTCTAATTCTTCGAATATTAGGTACTACCATACGTGATGTTCGTCTCTCCACGTACTTCATCGAGTGCTGCGCACACGGTTCTTACAGCTGACCACTTTGCACGCAAACGCCCCAAATTATGCGTACCAAGCGACAAGGGCCCAAGGAGGAGAACCTTAAGGTAATATAAAAGTGGTGTCTAAGGGTCTCGTTTCTAAAATTTTTCTTTGTATTGGATGTACCGAATCGCCTTTCTGTTTTTTCTTTTTTTTTTTGACGGAATGTGGAAGATCCTGACACCCATGAAATTTCATTCGTCTTAATCTGCCTATAAACACTTTTTAATGTTTTACAACAAATGAAACTTCATGGATGGCACGGTCTTAAGTAATCTATTCGATTGATTTACCTGGCAAGCTCTAAATGCACCCAATGTCGATTCGAGCGACATCACTGAATGGTATGATAACCATAATATCCTAAAGTTTATTCGAATGTTAACCGAAAGTCGTATATAAATTCATATTTCCAATTTGTCGAGTTTCGTTGATTTCGGCGGCTGAGAGAAGTTTTCTCTCTCTATGTGTCATCTCGCGAAATGGGAGCTGGAGGGTGTGGAATCCACGGGATGCAAGGATATATACGGTAGGTACGCACGTACATAATCCACCGAGAAGACGTGGGATCTGGGGAGAGCTGTTATTTCAAGCGGCCGTCCGCCCGTTCGTTCGGCCGTCACTCCGCAGCAATGCCGTGTATAAACAGGCGCGGATGGACGAGATAGGGATGTAGTTGGTGTGTACAAGGACCGAAAGGAACACCTCGGCTCTCCCGGAGAAAGAGAACCTCAGAGGTGCCTCCGGAACGACAGATTGTCTCGAAGGTTCCCAGGATTCCTCCACGTCCCTCCAAATAGTACAACTATATGATATTTCAATATCGACGATACCAATATATACGATAAGCCTGGACAAATGCAAATTGTTTGGTAATGACAGTTCCAAAAAAGGATAACCGTCAATTAAAGATGGGTCTAACAATAATAACAAATTTACAGGTTTCCGATGAACATTATACGAAATGCACGTTCTGTATATATATTGAATACATTGAATGTTTCTTTTTATCTCATGGCTTTATTTTCATCGAAACATCAAGTTATCTCAATTATGACATTAATTGGGATACGTTAAATGTTTTCTCAACGAAATTAAAAATATTAGGTCAAGACACGAAAGAAACGAACATTTTTTCATCGAAGATACAACCTTTTATTAGGAATTTCACGTGCAACACTCATCAAACATATTTTCTCATATTTTTTACTAACGTAGAAGTCAAACAACATAAATTCAAAAACTCACAAAACAAAAATATCATTCTACCTGTCATTGTGAACATCTTACAAAACATTTTTTTGTTTTCCTTATAAATAAGACACCATTACAAAACTGAAAAATTACTTTAGCATGTACCAAACCAAGTAGCAAATGGATGAATTTCCTATATCAGATCTCTTCCTTTTTTAAATAATTAAATCCCCGTCGTTGTAATTACTTTATAGTTATTATTAATATCCCTTTACTTTTCAGGGCACCGGTACTCCTGCCGAAAGCCTGACAGCAGTTTAACCACGGTCTGTCGGTGTTTACTCACGGTAGGCACGTATAAGGAGAGGAACCGCTGCGGAACCGCTACGGACCCGCTGCGGGGAGCCTTTGCCCGCAGGGGGGCCACTGAGTTTACTTAACACACTGGGCTTAACTTTAACTTCCGATTAACTTACGGTTAACCGCAGGTAAATGAAACGCCTCGAGTGACCTGCCGACTCGGTCGGACCTGCTCGTCCCGATGGTTCGTAAAACCCACTGAATGCTCCTTTCGGTCCCACTTGTTCCCTGTAATTCTGCCCACTTTGAGACGAATATTCTCGGCTATGACGATGAAATATTTCCCATAAAAATGAGTGAAATATATAACGTAATCTTCACTCAAACAAAAAGTCCAGTTTAAAGAACCAAAATTTCTCCTAGATTACTTGACGAAAAAAATTAAGCGACACCAAATGTCCATACACAGACCTTTTCGTGGTTATTCGATATGGTCTTATTTGGATTAAGTACAAACCAATCCCAGAGAGCTATACACCATTCATTTCGCATCGTCCTACACTTATCCTGTACACCGGTGGGCCATTGCATTTCGAGTTTCCTGCGGAACGATCCAGCCATCGGGGAGACCATCAAACGACAATGAATCACCAGGGCGATTAATCAGAGGGTAATTGCAGGCCCGCGTCCCGTACCTATCCCACCTGGGGCCACGTACACGC